TTAATTAATTTAAAATTATTTCAAAATAAAGTTACAAGCGTAAATAAAGCAGCCCCTCCCCCCAGCATTATTCCCAGTCCACCTCTCTCTGTCCTTCACAGCTCTGATCATGTATGCTGATCTTGTTTGTTATCTCCCTGGGTGGGGTCTGGTGTGTCTTGTTGGCTTCAGTGTCTCCTGTGCCTAAATAGTGACTTACACACAGCAAGCACTGCTTTCAAATGTGTCGAATAAGTGAATAAATTAATATTCCTGGATGTGACCAGGAAAAGTGAATGGCAAAAGTGAACGTTCTTCTAAAGTTTTCAGACCATAAGACGGCAACACAGTCGGGAATCCTCCCACAAGCCCAAAAGTGAAATTATGGGACCCCCAAAATTAGGAATCTCATCCCCAGATTTTGCAGGTGGGGGAAATAATTTACTCCCCAGAAACCTTGCTGTAAACATCAGTGGTCCCTCTGAGGGCTACCATGAGGAGAGGATTCCTGGCAGGACATGTCTCAGATGGTTGGGATCTGGGACACTGGCCAGGGGAGGAGCACCCCCTGCACCCCCACCCACAGCCTGCCTAGGATGAACTTCCCAACCCCACAATTGGCCGTGGAATTTTACTGGGAAAACCTGAGAAATGACATTGTACAGACCTTGGCCCTTCCGTAAATTCCCTCCGTGAACCCCCAGATAATAGCAGGGCTTTGGGAAGCAGCAGCAGCCATTCTGTGCTGTGCGTTCGGGTGTCTGTCTTTAGCCCCGAAGCGTTTGGGGCCAATACCAACTTGGCTTTTATGCCGTCTTTTCAGCGTGGGACAGTGGTGGTCTGCTGTAGTGGATGGAGTCCAGCCGGGAGTCGGGACTCCTGGGTTCTGTTTCCACATGTGTATAAAGTGGGTGCGGAGTGTGCGTGGTGCTCTCTGTCTGGGCCAGCACTGGTCTCAGTGGCACTGCTGAGGTGCTGCCTCTCTGAGCCCGGGCATCTTCGGGACATTCCAGACCTTGGTTATATGGGAAGGTGGGGGCTGGGCGTGCACCAACAAGGAAATGCTCCTGAACAGTCCAGCACTCGCTGGACCATAACTAAGTACCGACTACAGTGAACAAACCTGACCCTATATCAAAGCATCATTTTGCAGATGTGGACACCGAGCCCCGAAGGTTAAGTGCCTTGACTAAGGTCAGGCAGGTGAAAGCTGGCATCTTGAAGCCATCCAAATGCCTGCCAGTTGAACCCATGTATTTTCATGTTATATTTTCTCTTATGCCACATTTTTATTTGAAAAAAAAAAGAAAACTGAACGTCTCCCTCCCCCCACCTAATGCCTATTGAATTTTAGATGGTGCTGGCCGCATGGCATCACTTTGGAACTTTGATTAAGTTAGGAAATCAGAGGTTAGCGCACTCCCACCTCCTAAAGAATGGGCACCACTCGTACCCCATAGTCCCTTCCCTGTCACAGAGGAGGAGACAGGCCACACCAAGGAAGTACCTGGTCACTGGCAGGTTCAGGGCTGGGACCCGGAGCCGCAGCTACTGGCCAGAGAATCTGCACTTCTCAGTGCTGTCTTGGTGGCTAAAGCAGGGCAGCTTGCCCAGAGCCACCACAGGGGAAAATCCAGATCCCAACGAATGCTTTTTCCCCAACAAATGCTTTGGAGAAATATCTTTCCTAATCCGAAGGAGCAGTCACTGCACAGCTGTAAATCCACATAGCTCCGGCAGAGAAAGGGGCCCTCCCTTCAGGCGGTGACAGGAATGTCCGTGTTAGTGCTGCATCCCAGGAAGTTTTATCAATTTCTGATGAAAATCATTATTTTCCTAAAAATTTCCCAACTCTAGGCTTGCCCGGAACAGCCAGCGTAGGCCGTTTCCTGTGCTGGAACTCCCGGGTGGTTTATCGATTTCACAAACCCACAGGAGGGAAATTTGGGAGTGGGGTCAGCTCAGTTGAGCAAGACGCTCTTGAGCCAGCCCGTGCGGGCCCCACCCGTCAGTGAGGGAGGAAAGCCACAGAGCTTGGTGTCCACGCAGAGATGGTGGCTTTGTGGGCTGTTCCTTCAGATGCAACATGAGATCAGCATCTGGTCATTCCGAGGGAGCCCCCAGGACCCACCTGTCAGCCTCTGCTGTGCCCTGGGGGCAGGTGTGTATCATGATGCTGTGACGGAAGTCAGCCAAGGCAAAACTGAGTGGCTCCTTCACTGTCACACCCTGGGCCAACCAACAGCAAGGACTTATTTCATCCTGCAAACTGGGGATTCTCACACAGCCACGTAACAGAGGTGGTCTGCACAGTTCCTGAATCCGCTGCAATTGTCACCAAAGTTGTGTGTGTGAGAGTGTATCTGTTTTCCTCTCTTTGTATTTGAGTGAAAACAACAGAGAGAAAGTGTATCCAGGGAGGGGGGCACACGTGTGAAGATGTTCGGGCATGAGCAGCACTCAGCAAACGTCCAGAACCCTGTCCTGGGCAGTCCCTGCCTGTGGCTATCGCACCTGGACCACACCCTGCGGCACACTGCGCCGGAGCAGCCTGGCTCAGGTGGGCACTGGCTGCATGCCAGGCGCCTCGGGTGCCGTTGGACAATGCACGACCCAGTCCTTCTCCGCCCTGGTCTCCCGCCCAAGCACGTCTGGCCCCGGCCCCTGCCCAGCACAGCCGCTTGCCCGTGCGCCACTGGGCCAGGTCCCCACCGCGAGGACAGGAAGTGCTCCCCACATCCGCCTCGGGCCGCACAGCCCGGTGCTTTTTAAAACCTGGCTGTGGTCACTGAGCCCAGTAGCCAGAGAGGGAATTTTTAAAAAGACTCACAAACGTCTAATTAAAATCTCAGTGTTGGGTTTTGAGGAAGGCGCTGGGCGGCTCCCACCCCTGCTTTCCGGAAACACAGATTTTTAGTGTTTGGAAGTGACAGGAGGCTAAAGTGAGACCGCCCTAAATATACCATCCTGGGCATTTCCATGCAGGGAAATGTGGGATTTATTCCGCAACCGCAGACTCTGCCAGACTATTAGACCAGTCCCCGCCCCGGGGCCGCCTCGGATCTCACCCCCAGCCTGTGCGCTAGCTCGGCCTCCATGGAGTCTTCCAACCGCCACTCGCTCCACCAGTCCCTCCTGCCACCACCCCCTGTGCTCCCCGCTGGCCAGAGGCACAGCCCATGTCCTGGCCTGGCTCCCCTGCTGTGCCCCACACCTGCTGGCCTTAGGGTACCTCCACACCTGTGCAGGTGGGGTCCCCTCTGCCTAGAGCACCCTCTCTGCCACCTTCTCCAACCACCAAAACTCCATCACATCCTTCAGGGCCAGTTTAGGTGCCGCCTCCTCCGTGGAGCCTGCTCAGATCCCACGACCCAGTGGGACCCTCGGACTTCCCCAGCACCTGACTGGGCCTGTCCAGCAGCTTGTCACTCCTACCCTGGCTTTTCTTGTTCCTTTCCATATTTCCCCCCTTCCTCCTTCCTCCCTCTCCTTGTTCCAAAAAGGGAAGCTGGGTCCTTTGCCCTCTGCTGTTTCTGGGTGATCCTGCCCAGGGTGTTTCCTGCCCTACCCTCGGGTCCCTCCACTCTAGGCCTGTGCCCTGCAGTGCCCTGACACTGTGGCAGATTCACACTCCTGACTCGGTCCAGCTCAGCTGTCAGCTCTGAGCCCCCACCGCACCCCTGCCCTCCCATCCAGGCAAGGGGCAGACTCTGGATGGCCCGTGTCCCACTGTGATGCCCTCGGTTATGTCCCTGTCCACCAGGTTTCCCCACGAGGGCTTGGCCCTTTCCTGCCTTGGGTCCGATGTCTGCCTCCCCTTTGGCCTGGGAGCTCCCAGAGGAGGGCCCAGCCTCTGTCTCACCTGCAGGTCCCAGGGCCAGCTGGGGGGGTGCAAGCAGGGTTTGGGGCTCGGGGCCTGTTGAGCACCCGCCAGGTGCAGGGCTCAGGGTACGCCTGACTACATGACCTCTCACAGCCTTGTCTACATTGCGGAATCCTGTCTACACCCTGGAGCACACCTAGAACAAGACCATTTGCGGAGGAGGAAGCTGGCCCTGCCCAGGGCCCCCCAAAGCAATGGGTGACAGCAGGTCACCCGGCTCTGCCCACTCAGGAGCCTGAGTAACCCCGAGTGACTGGCTCCGCTTTGTCTTCCAGTGGAGCGAGACCGAGCCCTGGGCCACCAGGAGCCCCACTGGAAGGAGTTCCGCTTTGACCTGACCCAGATCCCGGCGGGGGAGGCGGTCACAGCCGCGGAGTTCCGGATTTACAAGGTGCCCAGCACCCGCCCACTCAACAGGACCCTCCACGTCAGCATGTTCCAGGTGGTCCAGGAGCAGTCCAACAGGTGCCTTCCCCTGGGCCCAGGCGCCCGCCCCGCCTCACGGTCTCATGGGCAAGGCCCTGGTGGCGTGTCCCACCCACTAGGGGCTGGACTGGGGGAGGAGGAGGATCTGTTCCCAGAGGATGGAAAAGGGATCCTGGGAGATGGGAAAGATGTTTGTCCCAAGGCCTCTGGGCAGTGAGGGAAGAGCCCAGAGATAGTCCTGACGTCAGGTCCCCACCCACATCCTGGCTGTAGGACCTTGGTCAGGCACTGAGCCTCAGTTCCTCCATCTGTACTCAGGCGCGGTAACACCTTTGTGGGCTGACTCAGTGAGATAAGGTGTGGGGGGAGCCAGCCCAGAGTCAGATGCTCCAGTGACGGTCCCCAAGTGGGCAATAGAAACTCACAGGCAGCTGTGCCGTCCACCGGTTAATTGTTCTTTCGTGTCCACAGGGAGTCTGACTTGTTCTTTTTGGATCTTCAGACGCTCCGAGCTGGGGACGAGGGCTGGCTGGTGCTGGATGTCACAGCAGCCAGTGACCGCTGGCTGTTGCACCGTAACAAGGAACTGGGACTCCGCCTCTATGTGGAAACCGAGGATGGTGAGGCTGAGGGGCTGCTCCCCTGGGGCCCTCACAGACTGTCCCAGCAGAGGCCGTGCTGGTGGCCTCCTTTGGCCCTGGTGTCCCGCCGTTCTTGTCTGTGTCCACTGTGAGGGTCGATGAGGTCCGGAGACGAGGTCCTAGACAGGTGGCCCTGCTCTCCTGAGTCGCTAAGAGAGTGAGTCCGTGTCTCCTTCCCCGGGACACAGGCAGTTCTGCCCCCGGAGCAGCTTCTACACTGGGAGCTTCTACACTGGGAGTTTCTGCACTGGGAAGGGAAGGAGGGGAGGTGGCTGCACCCCCAGGCTCTGAGTCCGAGAGGCCTGGGTTTGAACCCCAGCTTGGCAATGCCCTACTCGGTGGCCTTGGCCTCAGTTTTCTCATTCAGAGAACAAGGATTCTCTCTCACTGCATGGGGATTTTGGGGACAGCCTCCTTCATACCAGGCAGTGGGAAAGGCCGAAGGCAGCACGAGGTTGGCGTGTTTGCGGTTCAGCAAGAGGGCGCGTGGCGCTGCAGAGCTGGCCAGGGAGCGGCTGGGAGGAGCTGAGCTTGAGAGAGGGTGGCAGGGGTAGCTGAGTTAGGGCAAACCAGGGCGAGGTGTTTGGAGTTTGGGGTGGTTGATTTTACTTAATAGCAGGAAGGAAGACAGGACCTGATTCAGGCTTTTGCAAAGAACCCTCAGAGATGCTCCCCTCGAGGGGGTGGAGCGTGACCCCACCCATCCATGTGGGCGACGCTCAGGGACTTTCTGTCTGAAAGCAGCATATGGACGGGGCGGGGCAGAACCTGCGCAGTGAGGAGCCTGACGAGCTCCGCGTCCGCCCGGGGAGGAAGGTCACGTCCACACGCGCTGTGGAGAACGGCGCTTCCCCTCGGAGGCCGCCTCCCCCAAGCCCGTAGCCGCCGTCCAGCCAGGAGAAAACTCTCCGCAGAATACCGGACAAGTACTTCTCGAAACTGTCACGGTCATCAAAAACATGGCAAGTGGAGCCTAAGCAGTCGTAACAACTAAATGCGATGTGGTGTCCTGGACGAGATCCTGGGACCGTGAAAGGACATTAGGGGAAAATTTATGAAATCCAAATAAATGATGGCATGTGCTTGGTGATAAGATATCAGTATTGGCTCATTAGTTGTGACAAGGGTACCCTAGTAGTGTAAAATGTTAGCACTTCCCAGGGAAGTGCTAGGAAACTAGGTCCAGGTATATGGGAACTCTCTGTGCTATCCTTGAAAATTTTTCTATAAATCTCAACTGTTGTAAAATTAAAACTTTACTGAATATCTGCATAAAATAAGCACCCCCCTGACTTCAGCGGGGAGGGCAGACTGAGAAGGACGAGAGTGACATCAGAGAGACCTGTCGGAGCCACACAGCGGTCCAGGCGGGAGCTGTGAGGGCTCGTTGGTGTGGAGACGGAGAAAGGTGGATGATTAGGAAGGTCAGGATGTAGGTCCAGTGGGGAACAGGTGAGGGAAGGGGGAATCATGGATGACATGTGGACCCAACCAGTGGATAGTTTTTAATAGATTTTTTGGCCTGAGTTGGCGGAAAATAGAGGAAGGGCAGAGTTCGGGTAGAAAGTCAAGAATTTTGTGGTTGGACGATGGAGACTCCTGGGGTCCTGCTGAGATCCCTGGACCTCATGGAAATGCCACTCCAGGGACAGGTGGGTGTGGAGATCCAGGTGTGGGAAGCGCTGGGATGTAAATAGATTTAAAGCCATGGGACTGGACCAGGTCACTTGGAGAAGGAGTGTGTCCCTGGAGACGAAGGGGGTGGCCCAGAGCCCTGTGGCCTCCAACAGGAGGGACAAAACCTGGAGGGCAAGGTGACCCAGACGCCAAGAGAGGAAAGTGTTTGCAGAGGCAGGGAGTTGTCATCTGTGTCCTGCTGTGAGCACTGAAGACAAGGACAGAGAAGTGACCAAAGGATTTGGTCACAGGAGGATGTTGATGACCAAGAGCTCAGTGTGGGGACAAAGTCTGATGGAGGAGGTGGAGGGAGAGAGGCAGTAGAGACAGTAGACAGCTCTTTCCAGAACCTTTGCTGGGAAGGGGAGCAGAGGATTGGGGTGGTGGCTGGAGAGAAATGGGGGACAGGGCAGTGTCTTTACAGGTTAGGTGACACTCCTGCACTTCTGCGGGATGGGAGTGACTCAGTGGAGAGGGACAAAAACTGCAAAATTCAGGACGAGTTCAAGGGTGAGGGGCAGAGGACAGGGGGGCAGCCTCTTCAGGTGCAGGGGCCCTTCCTGATGGCTGTGTGGGAGGGACAATGGGCCCCACTGCCGCAATGAGGGGTGAGCCTGAGCCCCGGGTGTTTGCGGTGGGGCAGGCATCCACTCTCCCGGTTTTCAGAGGATTAAACCAGGGTGCCCGGCACAGAGGGAGTGCTCAGAGAGAGGTGGCTCATCACCATCATCAGCGTCACCCTGCTGTGCCTGTTCCTTAGACACTGGCAGCTCTGGGGAGGCTCTGGAGTGTTTGCAGTTTCCGAGGCTCCACGAGGCTGGAGGGATTGGGGTGACGCCTTCCACGCGAGCCTGGCCTCAGCTCTTCTCTGCGCCCAGGGCCTGTGCGCGGGACATGGCTGGACGGAGGGCAGCATCGTCCAGGGCCTGCTCGGGCAACGACTCTGGACCCCGTCCCGGTCCCGGGGAAGGCGCGGGAGCAGCTCCCTCCTTGTCCCTGCGGCGGGCCAGCAGGAGCCTGGCCCCTGGCCGCGGACACCTGGCTTCGAGCATGACCCGAGGCGCGCGTCAGGGCGCGGGCGCCCTCCCTGCTCTGTGACGCGGCGTCAGCGGCTCGGGACACGCACGCGGGGCGTCCCCGGCCTGTGCCCCGACCTCGGAGCCCGAAGGACCATGGCGGCGCGGCGGCTCCTGGCGGCGGCGCTGGGGAGCTGCGTCCCCGCCGGCCGCGCGGGGCCCGCGCTGTCCCAGGGCTGCTTCCTGCGCAGCTTTGCCACCAGCCCCCGTCCCCGCGCCAGATTCTACACCGACCCCGTGGAGATGGTGAAGGACATCTCCGATGGGGCCACCATCATGGTCGGGGGCTTCGGGCTCTGCGGGATCCCCGAGAACCTGATCGCGGCGCTGCTCCGGACGCGCGTGAAGGACCTGAAGGTGGTCAGCAGCAACGTCGGGGTGGACGACTTCGGCCTGGGCCTCTTGCTGGCCACCAGGCAGATCCGTCGCATCGTGTGCTCCTACGTGGGCGAGAACGCGCTGTGCGAGAGCCAGTACCTGGCCGGCGAGCTGGAGCTGGAGCTGACGCCCCAGGGCACCCTGGCCGAGCGCATCCGCGCGGGGGGCGCCGGGGTGCCCGCCTTCTACACGCCCACGGGCTACGGCACCCTGGTGCAGGAAGGGGGCTCCCCCATCAGGTACTACCCAGACGGCCACCTGGCCATCATGAGCCAGCCCCGGGAGGTGAGGGAGTTCGGCGGCGAGCACTACCTGCTGGAGCGCGCCATCAGGGCGGACTTCGCGCTGGTCAAGGGCTGGAAGGCTGACCGCCAGGGCAACGTGATCTTCAGGAGGAGCGCCAGGAACTTCAACGCGCCCATGTGCAAAGCTGCAGACGTCACGGCGGTGGAGGTGGAAGAAATCGTGGATGTGGGGACTTTCCCCCCAGAGGACATCCACGTCCCTAGCATTTACGTGGATCGCGTGATAAAGGGGGCGAAATATGAGAAAAGAATCGAGCGGATAAGGTTCCGGGAACAGCAGGCTGGAGAAGCCAAAGGCGGGGACGACACAAGGACACGCATCATCAAGCGGGCAGCTCTGGAGTTCGAGGACGGCATGTACGCCAACCTGGGCATCGGGATCCCCCTGCTGGCCAGCAACTTCATCAGCCCCAACATGACCGTGCACCTGCACAGTGAGAACGGCGTCCTGGGCTTGGGCCCGTTTCCTCCGAAAGCTGAGGTCGATGCGGATCTCATCAATGCAGGCAAGGAGACAGTGTCCGTGTTCCCCGGGGGCTGTTTTTTCGCCAGCGATGACTCGTTCGCTATGATCCGAGGGGGGCACATCCACCTCACCATGCTCGGAGCCATGCAGGTGTCCAAGTACGGCGACCTGGCCAACTGGATGATTCCCGGCAAGAAGGTGAAAGGAATGGGCGGTGCCATGGATCTGGTGTCCAGTCTCAAGACCAGAGTGGTGGTCACCATGGAGCACTGTACGAAGAGCAACACCCCCAAGATCATGGACAAATGCACCATGCTGCTGACCGGGAAGCGCTGTGTGGACCGCATCATCACTGAGAAGGCCGTGTTCGACGTGCACAAGAAGAAGGGGCTCACGCTGGTGGAGCTCTGGGAGGGCTTGACCGTGGACGACATCAAAAAGAGCACGGGGTGCGCCTTTGCCGTGTCCCCCAACCTCAGGCCCATGCAGCAGGTGGCGCCCTGACCCGGGAGGCAGCCCTTGGGCGCCCAGGCTGGCTTCTCAGGGCGACCTGGCAGGGCGTCCTCAGGGGACGTGGGTCACCGCAGGAAAGCATTCCACCAGGGCTGCGACGGGCTGGCTGCTGTTCTCTCAGACTTTACTGCGCAGACGGCGTTCTCTCTAGAGGGATGTGACTTTAATAAACACAAGAGGAAAACAGCCAAGGGCATCTGGTATGTTCTCGAGCACAGCAAGGTGCTCTGCGACCGTCCGTGAGGAACGTGCCCTCTTCGGTGTCTGTGGCGTTCACATTAAATTCCAGCAGCTGGAGCCTGGAGCGTGTCCTGGCGGAATTTCACCCACGCGCCTCCCTCATCGTCCAGTCACAATGTCCAGACAAACATGAGGGAGAAAACAGCCCCGCCCAGAGGATAGCTAAGGGGCCGTCTTACTACTGCCGCGACACACGCACACACATACACGTGAATCTGTGGTGGAGAAATGCTGTCTTCATGGAAGTTTCCCCGTAGCTCCTCTGACTTTCTTCTGGGGCCTTTCATTTTGTTGGTAAAGTTTGTTTCCCGGCAGCCTCCCCTCCCCCTCCCACGTCTCTTCTCCTGGTGCCTAAATAGGTGACCCTAGAAGGGAAACAGGACCATGTCCAGGCGATGGGACCTGGTACTGGGAGAGGCGGGGGAGACTGCAGGTGCTGACAGCCCACAGGGAAGGTTCCTCCAGAAAGAAACAGTCTCTGTGTTGCCCAAGGCGACAGCTTATGATAAAAGCGGGTCTAGAAACCTAAGCGATGGACTAGGTGGGTTTTCTCCTCTTGAGCTGCAGGGCTCCTGCCTCCTCCAGACCGGACACCTATGTCCTTCCCCCTGTTAGAGGCCCTAAGTGGGCTCTTGTGTAACAGCCCTCGGAACCCAGGCAGGGCTGTGAGGTGTCTCATCCTGAGTCTCTAGTCTCAAAACTAAAGAGAAGAATTTGTGCGCGTGTGCATGTGCACGTGTATGTATGCGTGTGCATGTGTGTGTGCGTGTATGCGTGCGTGCATGCGTGTGTGTGCATGTGTACTGTTAAAGACCAAGCCTGGCACAGAGCATGCACCTTGTAAGTGAGCTCCAGGGGTTCACATGGCCGACGGGAGGGTGCTGGTCAGAGCAGTAAGTTCTAGGTGGTCAAGGACGGCCTTTCTGAGAGGCCCCATTAGAGCCTCACCTGAGGGAAGGGCCAGATCCTGGACAGGAGAGATGGCACTCACTGAGGGGACAGCACTCGCTGAGGGGACAGCCTAGGGGTGTGGGGAAGTGGCCAGGGACCATGGCCGGGGGTGGGTGGGATGAGATGTCGTTGAGTGGATGGTGAAGCACATTTTTTTTTTGGAGACAGAGTCTCGCTCTGTCACTTGGGCTAGAGTGCCATCGCGTCAGCCTAGCTCACAGCAACCTCAAACTCCTGGGCTCAAGTGATCCTCCTGCCTCAGCCTCCCAAGTAGCTGGGACTACAGGCATGCGCCCACCATGCCGGCTAATTTTTTTTCTATATATTTTCAGTTGTGCAGCTAATTTCTTTCTATGTTTTTTAGTAGAGACGGGGTCTTGCTCTTGTTCAGGCTGATCTCGAACTCCTGAGCTCAAACAATTCCAGAGTGCTAGGATTACAGGCGTGAGCCACCGCGCCTGGCCATGAAGCACATTCTGGGGCTTCTGGGGAGGGGCAGCTGACTTGCCCTGGCTGTGAGAGCTTCTAGCAGGAGTGCGGAAAAGGCAGAGGTGCCCAGGAGCACATAGCAAGACGGCCCAACTCTGCATTCCCCGGGAGGGTCTGCAGGAGCTGGGCAGCCTAGCGACTGCTACCGCCAGGACTACCCGGCCTTCCCTGCGGCCAGCTGGAGCCAGGGGCCCTACCCAAGGACGGGTGGGCACAAAGCAGAGCCGGGGGCAAGGGGGGCTCTGGGCTCTGGAAGGAGGGGCTGGGGACTTCCCCAGGCCTACCAGATGCAAGCTCTGAACAGAGACCAGGCATCAGTCCCCTTCCCCCTACGGCCCTCCAGCCAGGCCTCTGCAGTTGGCTGGGGAAGGGTGTGACTGTCCTGGCTCTGTCCCACCTTGCCCTGGGACCTTGAGCAGTTGCTGCTCTCTTTGGGCCTTCGTTGCTGCTTCTGTAAAATGGGCGCCTGGGATCGGCTGCTCGCAAGGGTCCTCGGTCAGGCTCACCCGGCCTGTGAGGCCTACAAAGGGGTCCCCAGCACCCAACCCCTGTGGCTCAGAGGAGGTCTGCGAGGGTTTGTTGGGGAATTGATCTAACATGTCATCTTGTTCTGTGCCCAGGAGATCCCCATAACTGCAGATACTGGAACATAGGGAGTTGCACAAAAGAAAGGCAAAGAGTGAACAAAGCCTGGAGGACTGATGGCACCTTGTCCCCCGCAGCCAGGGCTCCCCAGCAGCAGACAGCCCTGGAGGGCTGCCCTGGGTCCAAGGTCGTCCCCATGTGGCAGCCAGGCTGCGGAGTTCCCCTCCAGGTCCCGTCATCGGTGACTGCCGGCCGCCCCACTCAGGGCACTCTGTTCCCTCCCCATGTGACCTCTCTGGCCTGTCCCTCTGCTCCTGAGGCTCTGCCTCCTGTGGCTCGGCCGCTTCCTGTAACCCTGACTCGCTAGGACCCAACTCTGCCGAATGGCTTCTCCCCGGGCCACCTTCCAATGGCGGGGCCTGCACCTAACACCCTCCCTGTCTGTGGGGCTCTGGTCCACGTTCCTCAGAGGGAGCCTCTCCCAGGCCCAGAGCAGTTGTTTGTGGCAGGTGATGTCACGGGTGAAGGGTTGGTCTCTGGATTGATTGGTTCAATCAAGTGTCCAGTGGACACCTGGTCTGAGGCACAGCTGCTTAAGGGCTGAGCTTTGAGAGGGATGAGGGTGGGGCAGGCAGTGTCCTTGACCTGTAGTGTATAATGGAGACCCACGTTGTATAACGTGCCTATCAGTGTAGGTGTGCCTGTGTGTGTATGTACACATGTACATGTATGTGCCTGTGTGCACGTGTGTGTTTATCAGTGCTTGTAACATGGCAGTGAAAGGTGCTCTCGTGTAAACTGACCACTCGGCACTGTGTTTAAAGAGATGCACAAATGAGCTAGTGATCCTGCTTCTGGGACGCAGTGTAAGAAGATCTCACGCGCAAAAGGAAGAGGCTCCGCTGCAGCCTCATCTCTGCAGTGAGAGCCGGGCAATGGCCCACGTGACTAAGGATAAGCCGACGTGACGTCTAAGTGATCACGGTGTGCGCTCGACGGGACTTTATACGCTGGAAATGTTAATTGCAGACATTTTAACAACCAGAAAAATGTTTATGTTAAAATGTTGAAAAGCTGGGCGTGGCGGCTCGGGCCTGTAATCCCAGCAACTCAGGAGGCTGAGGCGGGAGGGTCTTTGAGGACAGGAGTTCAAGACCAGCCTTGGCAGCATAGCCAGGCCCTGTCTCTGAAAAAAAAAAATTGAAGAAAATACAGACTTCTTTCCTGGGCTGACAACTGTTTAAAACTTAAATCCGCATAATGAAAATAAGCCAGTAAATGAAAATGAATATACAGGTGTTGAGGAGGGGCGTTAGGAATATTTTTTCTCAAAGGTTTCTTTACTGTGGTTATTATGTTGCTTTTACAGTAAGAAAAGAAAGAGGTCATTTGAAACGCAAAGAAGTGCAGGAGCAATGGTGGGTTTTGGTGAGGCTTTGCCTTTCCAGGGTCAGGGATCACGTTTTTAACGGCTTCCTGGGTCTCGGAGCAGCTGTGAGAAAACCCTTTTACAGGCTTCGCTGGACCCGGGGCTGAGCCGAGTCCGGTCCCCGCCTGCAGCCTCCTGTCTCTTTCTGTTTCTCAGCCATCATGGGAACTTGGGCTCTGGAATGAGACCCACTCGGGTCGAGCCCTGGGCTCTGGGACTGGGTTGCAGGGCCGGTCTCTGCCTCGCGGAGCCTGGCGCCTCCTCTGCGGGCATCAGGGAGTCGGTCAAGGCCCGGCCCTTGGGCCGCGCCCGGCAGAGCAGGACTCGCTGAACCCACACGTGCTGCCCCGAGCTGCCCCGCTCAGAGGTTACAGGTTCGCGCCCCAGACGGTGCGGGCAGGAAGACAGGACACGGGCCTCGGGGTCCTTAGACGGAGGCGAGAGCCCTGTTCTGGGAGTCACTGGCAGGGACTCCGGGTCACTATGGAAGGCCCTGCAGTGTCGTCTGTAAAGCGTGAACTTCAGGATTACTGTAAAGACCGAACGAGGTAACCAGTGGGGAATTTCTTTGGAACTTGTAAAACCTGTCACAAATGTCTGTGTCACGATTATCACTCGTACTGATGCCTGTGGCTCATGAGGCCCCTCACCCCCCACCTCCTCCAGATCTGCCGCCAGGGAGCCGGGGCTGGACTGAGGACTCTGGGCTTCAGGTGAGGAAACTGAGGCTCAGCCGGCCCCTCAGGCCCTCAGGCTCCACGCCCCTGGACCCGCGGGGGAAAGCTCCTTCTGTGTCCACGTGCAGAGCCCCCATCCGTGAGTGACCCCTGTCTCCTCTGTCTCAGGGCACAGCGTGGATCCTGGCCTGGCCGGTCTGCTGGGGCGACGGGCGCCACGCGCCAGACAGCCTTTCATGGTCACTTTCTTCAGGGCCACTGAGAGCCCCGCCCGTGCTCCTCGGGCAGTGAGGCCACTGAAGAGGAGGCAGCCGAAAAGAACCAACGAGCTGCCGCACCCCAACAGACTCCCCGGGATCTTCGGTGAGGGCAGGGGAAGGGCCTCGGTTGAGGCCCTGCAGCCTTGGGCCGAAAGAGGTGGGGCAAGAACCAGGTGGTGGCACCGAACCTTGGGGCCCTGGGTTCGGTTTAAGTCCTGGTCACTCTCCAGCAACCATCCCTGACACTGTCTTTGCTCTGAGGCCCCTTGATGACCGGCCACTCCACTCTCTCCAGGCCTTGGAGCCTCTGCCCTGGCTGTCCCTGCCACCCAGAAGTCCCCATCGCTGCTCCCCTGGGTCTCCCAGGCCTTTCCCAGAAGCCTCCATCAATTGGAGCCTGGGCCCCCTGCAGGGCCCTTAGCTATTGATGCGAAGGTCTCCCCCCAACAGGGCCAAGCCCCTGGATCAGGGATAGGTCTGACCCGGCCATGTGTCCTCCTTCACAGGGCGTCAGCTGTTTGGCCAGCCTCAGCAGGAGCCACTTGAACACATGGAGTGGGTGTGGTGAGAGAGGGTGGGCGTGAATCAAGAGGAGTCTCCAGGGGAAAGAAAGAAGGGGCACAGGATGGCCGAGGGTCCTCCTGGGCTCACAGGCTGAAAGGCAGGGGAGGCCAGCCAAGCACAGGGCTACTGTAGCCATGGGGAGACATGGAGGGCTCTTGAGCTGGGTCATGGCAGAAGCAGAGCTCCAAATGGTTTCCTCACATTTGTTTATTCAACGAATGTGCCCATCAGGGCGACCCCCCTCTAGTACCCCGTGGGAGCTGCACAGAGCAGGAACCCCAGAAAAGACCTTGTCCCGTCTGTCCCTGCAGATGATGTCCACGGCTCCAGCGGCCGGCAGGTTTGCCGTCGGCACGAGCTCTACGTCAGCTTCCAGGACCTCGGCTGGCTGGTAATTTCTGACCCTTCTCCGTCTTAAATGAAAATCCCCACCTGTGACTCACATGTGGATCTGCAGGGAGGACGCAGAATTATGGGTGACTTCCATTTTCTCTTTCTCTTTTTTTAGATAGGATCTTGCTCTGTCTCCCAGGCTGGAGTTCAGTGACACAATCATAGCTCACAGCAGCCTCAAACTCCTGGGCTCAAGTGATCCTCCTGCCTCAGACTCCTGAGTAACTCGGACTACAGGCACATGCCACTATGCCCAGCTAATTTCTTTATTTTTTATAAAGACAATCTCGCTATATTGCCTGGGCTGGTCTTGAACTCCTAGCCTCATGTGATCCTCCTGCCTTGCCCACCCGTAATGCTGAGATCATAGACGTCAGTCACCACACCCAGCCCAATTTTCTTTCCTTTTTTTTTTTGTGAGACAAAGTCTCACTCTTTTGTGCAGGCGGGAGTGCCGTGACGTGATCATAGCTCACTGCAGCCTCAAACTCCCGGGCTCAAGGGATCCTCATTCCTCCCAAGCAGCCAGGGCTACAGGCGGGCACCGCCATGCTGTGCTAATTTTTATTTTATTTTATTTTTTGTACAGACAGGGTCTCACTATGTTGCCCAGGCTGATCTTGAACACCTTGGCCTCCCAAAGTGAGCTACAGGTGTGAGCTACTGAGCCCGGCTCCAGTTTTGTTTTTCTGTTTTTCTGTTGTGTTTTCCAAGTTTTCTAAAGTGAGAATATATTACTTATAGTGAAGAAGGGGTTTTTTTGTTGTTTTGGTTTTTGTTTTTGTAAAAACCATGAAAATGAAGACTGAATCCTCAGCCAGCTAAGCTGTCGGCGCTGCTACAAGGACCTGAGACTGGGTGGCAGTGCTGCTTGCATAGCTGTGACTGCAGCCCGGGGGGCGTGGGTGGGGAGGGCAGGCGGGGGAGATGCAGAGCGAGGTGGGTGTGAGGGGGACAGAGCCGGAGCTCTGCCTGCAGGGCGTCCCTGTGTGGACTCAGGCCCCTGAGGCTCAGGGAGGGTGAGGGGCGGCCCTGAGTCGTCCTGTGACTCATCCTCTGACAGGACTGAGGGTCTGAGGAGGAGCGTGTGATGGGACTCACCTTCTCCCATGTCCCCCAGGACTGGGTCATCGCCCCGCAAGGCTACTCGGCCTATTACTGCGAGGGGGAGTGCTCCTTCCCACTGGACTCCTGCATGAACGCCACCAACCACGCCATCCTGCAGTCCCTGGTTAGTGTCTCGCCCGTCACGCCCGGGTCCCGGGTGGGAGCCCTGGGGAGAGGGGCCTGGTCAGCCAGGAGGGCAGTGAGGGCACCTGCTCCGGGTCTCAGGGCGCTTTCTCTGCGTGGAGTCAGTAAGGCAGTTAAGTGCCACAGCTCTGCAGAAACTGCTCCCTCGTGGCCACGCCTGTACACGCAGACTCACACCCCTGAACACGGCTACACCCCGCACTTACACTACATAGTTCAGTACACATGCACATCCCGTGCACTGCACACGCGCATGTGGGTCACTTATGTCCCTGTGTGTGGACACCCAGACTGACAGGCGCCGCTCCTCACGGTCATAGGCATAGCACACAGTAGACGTGCACGCTCGCACGGGGACCTGTGTGATCTTGACACACTCGTGTGCCTGTGTGCACTGGTGCGTCTCGTTACCAAACGCACAAGGGGGTTCTGGTCCTGTTGCTCACTGCAGAGAAAGCCAGTTACTGAGGCAACGAGGGTTGCCAAGGAAGCATGATAATTTATTACAGGTGACACCACCTGGGAGACGGGAGAAATGACTCAAACCCGACTAACTGAGGGCAGGGGTTTTGTAAGGGGTTCAGGCTTCGTGTATGGGGCAGGTTGTGTTGAAAGCGATGCAGGCAGGAGGGCTAGTTCAGAAGTCGCAGGTCAGCGATGGTGGTGAATCTCCGTTTCTGGGAGACGACGTAGAAGGGAAAAGCGTTAGTGAAACAGCAAGATTATAACGTCTGGTTGTGGAGCCCGATGGCCCGGGAACCCCAAGCATAAGGAAGCTGCAGGGAAAGCATAGATGGGGTGTCACTTTGTGTTTGTTCTTGGGGCCAGTTTATAGTCCGACCACGACACACATGCACCGCGTGAGGGACGTGCGGTGCCTTTCCCCAGCCCAGCTACGCCGTGGGCAGGGGGAGTCCGGGCTCCGGCTCTCAACCCCTTGGCATTGTCCTAGTTTCTTCCTCAGCCGTTTGTGTTTTCTCCAGACCGTGGGGTTTTCATGCCTCAGTGTCTGAGGCAACTTTAAATGATGAAGAAAAGTTTCTATGGAAACATCGTTGCTGCTGCTTATTGCTAAGTGCACGGCGATTCTGGCATTGACTTCCTTCCAGAACTTTTCACCCAGAATCCTAGTTCCTAGGATCACTTGGCCTTATGTTTTTCTATTAAGAGGTTGTTCAGAGGTGATGCCCTGTGTGAGAGGAAAGGAATTGGCAAAAGCGGCTGTGAGCCTGTGACGCTTCCTTTCTTAGGGTCGCATGGTGTTTTCAGGACGCCTGGACAGGCTCAGGGGGATGGTAGGACTCATGGGGCAGACCAGCCCGGCCCAGCTTTGCGCTGTGTGGCTCTCAGGCCCAGGGGACGGAGGTGCTTGGGGAGGTGATCGGTCCTCCCAGGACCCCGTCCCCTCTGCCCCACACCCCTGCCACTACCTCAGCCCAGGCCCCCAGTGGCTCAACAAAGGTTGAGTCACCAGGCAGCAAGGAAGTCAGGCACTGCCCTCTGGGGGACGCTGTGGGTGAGCAGGTCAGCAAATGGCCACTGCGGCCACACATCCTATGACCAAGAGAAGAACACGCCCTCAGGGGAGGGTGTCAGCTGGGCCTCTGTGCACAGGGAGGAGCCATGTTAGGAGCTGGATGAAGAAGGTTCCAGGCAGAAGGAGCAAGTATGAGGCCCTAAGGCAGAAGAAAGTTTGGGGGGTTCAGGGCCAGCAGGGAGGCAGGGCTGGGGCAGAGAGCGAAGGGGGGCGAGGGGCGGTGATGCTGGGAATGGGCAGGCCACTCCCCTCGGGCCTGGGGATCTCTGGAAAGGAGGGTGGGTCTTATTCCAAGTCCCCTGGGAAGCCAGGGGCATTTAGCAGGGCCTGGCTGCTGTGGGAAGGTGGGCAGTAGGGGTCAGTAGTGGGAGAGGCAGGCAGACCAGTGAGGGCTGCTGTGGCCACCTGATGGGGCATCCTGGAGACAGGCCAGGGAGGGGAGCAGGCCGAGCCCGAGGCTGGGCTGGGGAGGCCTTGGAGGCTGCCGGGCTCATGCCACTGCATGCACCCCTTGCTGCCCAGGTGCACCTGATGAAGCCGGACGCAGTCCCCAAGGCGTGCTGCGCGCCCACCAAGCTGAGCGCCACCTCCGTGCTCTACTATGACAGCAGCAACAACGTCATCCTGCGCAAGCACCGAAACATGGTGGTCAAGGCCTGCGGCTGCCACTGAGGCCCTGCCCACCTGGCCCCCACCTGGCCCTGCTGCAGCCACCCCTTCCCATCAGTCAGGGCCCACTCCAGAGGCAGGAAACCCTCAGACCTGGCCAGATCCCAGGCAGGGTCCTCAAAATCATGTCTATGCCACTCCTTGCTTCAGGCCAGGGCTTGGTCCTCTCCAGGCCCCTGTGCTCCCCTCCCTCTGAATGATGTGTGTGTGCCCATCCTGCCTCCAGCCCTAGTGGTCTGAGTCATCTATGGCGTGCTATCCAGTCACCCCACTCCCCACCCCAAGCCACATAGGGACCAGCTCTTTGGGGTTGGCACGAAATTCCTATCTGAGGTCCTGTCCATGCCCATCAGTGGCCTAAGCTGTCAGAGGATGTGGGATGACCTGGGAGGCACCTGGACCACGACTGGCCACCTTGGGCTCTTCATTATCCATCACAGGGTTTGGGTATGTGTAGAGGGGGGTCTGCCCCTCCACTTCCACCAGTTGCCTGCCACTCCCAGGTACAAGTCTGGGCATTTCTGGAGAACAGTTTAAAAGCAAGGACCTGCATGGTATACAATATACCATGTTGTATATTCATAGTTCTGAGTTATTGATCCACTGACCACAGGTAGGCATGGGGGGTCAACTCAAGAAAAAGCTGAACGAACTACACGATTTAGGGCTAAAGCCAACAGCATTTATCTTTCAACTTGCGTCTGCCTGTGCTATCTGGGAAAGAAATACAGTGCGTGGACATTTTGCTTTGGAGAAACAGAAAAATCTTGGAGGCTTCCAATTGACCCATCTATCTGCCACTGTGTTGACCCATCAGGAGCTCAGCTCTGTGGCAAAGTTTTCTTTCTGCTGAGGAAGCATGGTATTGCATTGGGTGGCCCAGGATGACAACGCACAGCGCAGACACCATTAGTTCCCTTTCCCTTCTGCATGGCAGACATCAATAATCGATCTTGATATTTTTTTCTTCCAAATCTGGACAGAATTTCCAAATCATCAGCACAGGATTCCAGGCAGCCCCTGCCAATAGATCAAAGTTGATCTGTGAAGTGAAAACCATTTGCCATCTTCTGCCATGCTAAGGAGCAACCCATTCCCCTCAGAGCAATGTATCTGCAACACTGGGCGGCCTGTGGCCAGGCCTGGGGCAAGGCCAGGGTCTTGTCAGTATGTCTGTATCCAGGAGTTGTCAAAAACAGGTTGGTCATCAAAGTCTGCATCACCCTGGGTGCCCAGCAGCCCTATCCTGTGCGTTGGGTCTGTGAGTCAAAGAAAAGGCCCCTGTCCCAGGGAGTGACAGGTGGTAATTAGACTGAGTTGGGTGGGGAGGTTTGTCTCAGTCCCCACTGTTCCCGGAAACCGCTGTTCTCCTTGGAGCAGCCGCTGGGAGCTGGGGTGTTTATTTGATTTCTGACTTGCTAAGCCTGTAATTTACCTGCTGGAACAGACAGAGTCCAGCTGCCCGAACTGTGCCATTAAAAGCAGATCCTGGGCCTGTCCCCATCCACAGGCACAGCCCAGCGAGGTGGAACCACCCGTGTGCCCAAGGATGCGCGTCTCTGGAGTTCACACGCTGCACCCCAAGGAGGGGCCTCGGAGGGCGGGTCTGGCAGCAGGGGTGGAGGCTGGGGTCATGCTGCGGGACAGCAGCCCCTCCACCTGGACCAGGGAGGGCCTCCGTGTACGAGCGCAGAGGAAGACGCCCTCCCATGTACACGAGTGTGGGCCCGGCTGTCTGGAAGGTGTTAGGTTCCCCATCACTGTAGAGACCTCAGCTGTGCCCTGGATGTAGGGAGACCTGACTTGTAGGCAGCTTCCTTCTCTGGGCCTGTTTTCTATCAATTCTATAACAGGGAGTTGGACTTGTTGACCTCCAAAGGGCCTTCAGCCAGCGAATCTATCAACATCTTCTCACACTGAGCTCAGAAACATCCTCGTAACCCTGAACGTGGAGCTTGGGTGGCTGTCACGAAGCAGAGCTGGCACATAACATAGAACCTATTGCCCTTCTAGTACCTACCTAATAATTCTTTCTTCTCAACATCAAGGATTGTCTCTTAGGCAATTGTAAATTTTAAATCAGCCAATTATTTTGACAACTAATTTTTTACTTCACCTGGTAGGTATCTTTAGTGCTCAGTCAATGATCTGGCATAGTAGGAGTGCAGCAGGAATGTCTGTCAGGTTACCCAAAGGTTGTAGATGTGGGGCACACCTTACCCATCAATCAAGCTGTGCCCAAGCAGGAACCAATAGGAGCTGTGATCCTCCTGGTTCATGCAGAACTGAGAAACTGTAAGGCTTTGCCGATCTATCTGGCTGTTGGACGTCCAGCAACTTTTGCCATCCAGATGATCACCAAATGAAAGCAAATAGAAGAATCCCCTGAGCAGCGAAACCATTGTGAATGGACACAAAGCCCAAGCATATCATTCCATAAGTTGTCTGGTTGCTGAGCCAAGCATGACAGCTGCAGTGGGGAGGCCAGGCTGGCAGCACAGATACCACCATTTCCCTTTTCCTTGCCTAGGGCATGGCCTGTTTATCTGTCGCACCAGACAAGAAAGATAAACAAGGGTGGTCAGTTCAGATCACTGATAGCGATGAGAAATCAATGACAGTTGACAGGAAGGAAGAACATATACAAAATAGGCTAAGGAGAAACGCCCAGCACTCTTGGTACTTGCAGTGCAATACTGGCCTTGAGGCCAAGTCAGCACAGGGTTAGTGTTTACTGTTTTCTAACGAAGGTAGGAAGTAACATCTTCTGGAAAAATTCCAAAGAAATAGGAAAAGAGGCAGCAGAGTCAGAGTACAGATTTTTGGAGCTGAATGGATTGGAATCCTGGTTCTTCCTTTATAGAGTGGGATATGGGTTCTTTCCTCCCAAAGCTATTATAAAAATTAGATCTGTACACAAACATTTGAGACATCTGGCATATAAATGCTTAACAATTGGTACTTGGTATTATTACAAATGAATTTGCTTTTGAGCCACCTCTGTGTCCATTAAAACAAAATGTGTTCTGCAGACGTCGGTGCCTTTATTTCTGAGTTGTGCTTTTGCCTAAAAAATCTATACATGGCGACTTGCATTCTCACTGCCTTTAAAGGCCTGGCAGCTGTCTCATTTTGGCAGTGGTTGGGGCTCTCATGTTTCCAGAGAAACAGGTATCCCACATCCTGCTGAGAGGTCTGAGCCTACCAGGGCCTTGCACGGCAATCTGAATGGAGGAACTGCCCAGTGTGAAGGGGGGATTCCTGTACTACTTACGGCAAGGCCTTATGCAAGCACTTGACCCCCTTTTTAAAAAAAGGCTTTTCATTTCTTAAAAACAATAGTGCACGGGAGGCTGAGGCAGGAGGATCGCTTGAGCCCAGGAGTTTGAGGTTGCTGTGAGCTAGGCTGACGCCACGGCACTCTAGCCCGGGCAACACAGTGAG